ACTTTGTTCACATAGAGGTGTTTATTTATTTTAAAGTTGATCTTTGCTCCATGGTGTGTATCACTGAAGACCTTTGGCTCTAATGGACATACATTGTTTCAGAAAAGGTGGATGTTTGGGGGTTAGAGGTAAAGAGTGGGAGAGCATTGCCATAAATCTTTACTTTGCTTTGGAAACTGCAAGCGTGATTCAGTTAAGCTACACTCTTGTCCTAGAGCAGTCCCTAATCTCTATTTGGCGAAACGTAACTTAAAAGACATTTTTGTAGAGAAAGCTGAAAGGACCAGCACAGAGTAACTATAGTTACTAGGATAAGTCTTAAAGATTCTTACAGTCAAAATAAAAAACAGAAATGTGCTTAAAATGGTAGTAGTCCAAGGCTGCAGACTGAAAAAGCCAGTAGTTAGAAAGGAAAATGAAATACATTGAATAATACATTAAGAGTTAAGACTTACACAGAGAAGCTACAAAACAGATTTCTTGGCATTGGGCAGTTCTTCACTTCAGGCCCGGGCTAGCCTTAAGATTTAGGAAACCAGGAGGATGTGTCAGATCCTGCAAGCCTCCCTGAGAAGCACAGCTGGCCAAGGGGAAATAGAAGGGGCGAGGGGGGTGCAGTTGATAGACAGCAGAGCAGTCTTGGAAGATGAAACTTGTATATGATCAATCTGCCAAAGCAATCACCACATCTTTCCTGAACAGTGTGATAAAAATGGGGTGGTTTCAAGATCTTTCATTTCAGGCCTAGTGTGAGGAAAGTGTAAGCTTGCAGAATCACCCAATGGATGTGGGCTCTACTGCAGCTGGTATCCACAGACCAGCTGAACTTTGATGGGTCTCTTTCCTTAGATATACAGTAGGAATAACGTCTCATCAGGGTTGTGAGGATGAAATGAGATATAAACATAAAATGTTCGCTCTGGCTCGTGTGGCTCAGTGGACTGAAGTCTGGCCTGTGGATGGAAAGGTTTCCAGTTTGATTCCTAGTCAGGGCACATGCCTGGGTTGCAGGCCAGGTCCCCAGCCTGGGGTGTGCAAGAGGCAGCCAATGGATCAATGTTTCTCTCCCTTCCTCCTTTCTCTTCTCTCTAAAAATAAATAAATAAAATATTTTAAAATATTCAAAATAATAGTATAACATAAAATATTCGATAAACATACCTTGTCCTTTTCAAATTAAACTAACATTTTCATTTCAGTAGTGGATTTACAGGTGATACCAGGTAACATTACAACTTGGAAGGACTGTTAATTAGATAGTTTAAAATAAATGATGTTCCAGACTGTGGAGATTTATTGTACACAAAAGCTGAAAAAAATGTTAGCTAGTGTCATACACATTTATTTTTCACAGAATAATTTAAGCAAATCCAATTTCAAAACAAAAATCATTGGGAAGAAATTTAAAGCAATGGAATTACAACATTCTGCTCTTAATTAGCCCAAGGAGAACTAACACTAGATCTTCGAGCATTGCTTTTTACTCTCTAGCCGGTTTCCAGAGATAAACTTTATTTTTTGGTTTGATACAAATGTATGTACACCTTCTTACAGTGTTAGGTCTACATGGTAATGGCTTGATGCTATATATATGTATAAATAATTTTTTAAGATTTTATTTATTTTTAGAGAGGGACAGAGAGGGAGAGAAACACTGATGTGGGAAACAATTTTCAATCTGTTGCCTCTCCTATGCTCCCTGACCAGATCGAACCTGCAACCCAGGCACATGCCCTGACTGGGAACTGAACCCGCAAATCTTCCTGTTGCGGGAGGGTGCCCAACCAAGTGAGCCACACTGGTCAGGGCTTGGCTTTACATATTATATGGACCATATGTATACTATATATGAGCCCAGTGCCAAATTTCAAACTTACATTAAGCTTTAATTGGATAAGTTAACTTTCATAATAAGGGTGATAATTCTACAGCAAATTACATTTCTTTCACAAAGATTGTCTAATGCCCCAACAAGAAGACTGCAAAAACAAATTTTTTGTTGTTGTTGGAAAGAGACTCCTAATGTACTACTTAAGAAGAGAAACAATGACTAATTTAAAGAATTATTTAGGGAAGTGGTTCCCAAACTTGTCTATACATTATCATCACTAAGGGAGCTTTTAAAAATTCCTAAACTCAGGCCACAGTTTTTGTGTTTGTGGGATTTTTTAAGCTTCCTAGGTGATCCTGAACCACAAATATAGTACAAATTATCCAATCTACAGAGAGAACCAAGACTGATGAAAAACAGAGCCTCAGAGACAATTTCAAGCGATCTAATATAAATCTACTAGAGTTCTAGGAAAAAGCAGGAAAAAAAAACCCCTGAAGAAATAGGCAAAACTTCCCAAACATAAACTTACTGATCCAAGCAGCTTAACAAACCCTAGGCATAAATACAAAGAAAACCATACCTAGGCACATCATAGTCAAACTACTGAAATACAATGATAAAAGAGCCAGAGAAAAAGACATTACATACAAGAAAAGAATGATAAAAATGACAACTGATGTTTCATGAAAAGTGGAAGCCAGAAGATAATGCCCTTACAATGAAGAGAAAAACAATAAAAAGATTCTCAACCCATAATTCTATCTTTAGTGAAAGTTTCCTTCAAAGATAAAAGTAAAATAAATTAATTTGAATGAACAGAAACAGATGATTTGTCATGAGCAGGCCCACACAATTCTCCAAAAAATTCCTTTAAGTTGAAGAGATGATATATTATTAGGACTGACATGAATGTGTGCCTCAAAAATGGTAAATATACAACAAATACAAAAAACTATACATATATCCTCACCTCTGTTAATATTTTTGTAAGACACTATAAGTTTAAAACAAAAATTATAATGTTGTCCTGTAGCTATAATATATGAAAAACAAAAAAAGGTGAGAATGACTTGAACTACATTGTTGCAAGATCCTATACCATGTACAAAGTTGTATACTAACCCTGAGTAGATTGTAATAAATATATATATCGTAATCCCAGAGTAACAATTTAAAATGTCAACTGAAATTGAAAAATAAATTTTTTAAAAAGAGAGTATAGTTTATAAACCAATAGAAAAAAATAAAAATAAAATACTAAAAATATTTGTATGACCCAAAAGGCAGGAAAAAGTTAGAGAAAAAAACCCCCAATGGTAAACAAATACTAACATATCAGTAATTACATTAAATGTAAATCAACTACACACACCAAGTAAAATAGGCAGATTATTAGTCTAGATAAAAAATAAAGACCCAACTATATGCTATCTAAAAGAGATGAACTCTAAATACAAATAGGTTAAAAATAAGCAAATGAGTAGATATACCATGCAAATAATACACATAAAAACATTTCCATTAGGATTATTAAATTTTTTTTTACATTTCCCATTCCAATTACATTTATTTCACAAATTGTGATTCAGGATCTTTATCAACTTCAAGGGGAGAAAAATAAAACAGGCAACTTGGGGTGATTTTTCTTAAGCCTTCGGGTTTCAAATGACCCTTGACATTTTCTTTAATCACTCATATGGCTTCTTCTCTCCCTTTTCTGGTATGATTCATAAAACATAACTAGGGAAGCCTTTCATGATTTGCTGGTCTCCCTTATCTGTACTCAAAGACTTTCAGCCTTTGATCTAGCTAGTAGAGGGAGTAATGATTCTTAATCACATTTATCTCATTTTTATTTGTGTTTATTTTGTTCCTTTTATATACTTTCTTATTTCATTTTGGTTTTATCTATTCCTGTGACCCTGAGGTGGGACCAGCCCACTCAAGGCTGATGCACCCTTCAAAGCTGTGTTCCTGCCAAGCTACAGCACCATACATTTTCCTCACTTATTTTCCTTTTAAAAATTATTTGCTTATTTATTTTTAAGACAGAAAGAGTGGAAGGGGGAGCACATCAATTTGTTGTTCTACTCATTTACGCATTCATTGGTTGACTCTTTTATGTGCCCTGACAGGGATCAAAACCACAATCTTGGTGTCTGGGGATGACACTCTAATCCTTTGAGCTACATGACCTCCTGGTTGTAAGTTTTTCTCTTTCATTTATAAAAAGTCTTTGAGTTTAGCTCTTTCTACAGTAAGTACTTTCTATATAATTTCAACAGGTGACAAACTTACATTTAGAAGAATTCTTCAACATTCCTTAAAGAACGCCAAAGCTCTGATGTTCCCCCAAACTTGGACAACTCATAAGCTAGGTCAGGGCTCAAAAGAACATGACCGTCATAACAAAGAAAGCTCATACTAAGCTTGAGGACTAATGGTTTTGTGGCATGTGACAAACCTGCTCAACCATAAGTGAAAGGAACACCAATTCCCCTCTGGCCATCCTGGCTTCATAAGTAATAGTCTGTCCCAACAAACTCTACTTGTGACCTTAGAAAATAAACCTGATAAACTAACAACCTCACAGAAGACAAAGCCACACTGTTTTATTCACTTTAGAAAATGTTTTAAGAGGTGATTTCTGTTCAAATTAGTGCTCTATTTGAATGTAAAGCCCTTATCTAACTGTACCACTAAGTAAAGTTTAAAGGGTAACATGAAAGAGGATAATACTAAGAGACTGCTTAGGTTGTTATTTACTTCTGAAAACTTAAGCCATAATCAGGTGCTTTGAGACCTTTCTTTTTAACACTGGTCATGTTTTAATATACGCAGGACAGATTACTAAGGGCTTTGGTGGTTAGCTAAACACTGATGGAATGACTCATTTCAATTTGCTGTACAATTTTAAGAAAAGCTTTTTGCCTATCAAGAATAAATATCACACATCCTGTTTATACATACTGGCTTGTTGTCTTCAGTTCTTCAAAGAGCTGGTGACACCCCCTTAACTCACACTCCACCCAACCCCCAACTTCCTCTCATTGGTGTGATATATATTCCTACTCACTATTAAGAAGCACCTCCCTCAACAAAACACTCTGTTGTACAGTACATTTTAAAGAAAATACTTTATTATATCATGAAAAAAGGCATCAACTAGATTTATACTTGTTTGAAAAAAAATTGAAAATTTATTAGACAGTATGTGGGCATCCTGTTCCACATGGGAATGAGAAGATGCTATAGGTTCTCTAAGTATTGCACAGTCTGAAAAAAAACACCAACACAAAAAAAAAAAGGGAAGAGGAGAAAAAAAAAAAATCACATGATTTTGGGAACATTCTCACATTATGAATAATCTACCAAGAAACATTAAAAAAAAAACTTTTTGTTTCTACAGTAGCTTTAGTTTATAGTTGTTGGAATGACTGTATTCCATTGAAGACATCTCAGTAACAGGAAGCTTCATTTTAGCAATCCCATGTGCAAATATTAATAAAAAAATATATAAAATAATGCAATTAATCTCTTGCCATCACCCCGGCAATCATAACATTTGTGAGAACTGTTTTGCTTGAAAAGGGTTACACTGTAAGTTTTGCCTGAAGCTCCATTTCTGCAGCCCGTTTGAGTGCAACATCCACTAGAAGCTGAAATCCGCTAAAATCCTGATTGAGGTCCGGTGGAGTAGGGGGAGGAGTGTTGAAAAGACCACTTTGTGTATTTGTGCTTGGTCCAGATTTACATGTGTCCTCTGGGTACACGAGCGAGGTGTCTATAAAGTTGCTGGCTGCTATCTGCTGTATATCTGTGTTTTGTCCCACACCAACTGGCTGACAGAGAGAGAAAGGCACATCTTTTAATGCAGTCACAGTGGTATGACAGATTACTGAAGGACGAGCCAGAATTGATCCTGGAGATGATGGCTTAGGGGATGGTGGCCTTCCTAGGGCTGGGTTGGGTCCCGCTGTACAGGAATGAAACGGGCTCTCCTCTAGAGTTGGCATGAAGTTTTTGATGCCCATCGCTGACTCCACAGAGCTTGCTTCAGAAATCTTGGCCCCACGGCGAGAAATTGTGAATTGATTTGGATCTTTGCCATCCTTTCTTAGCATGTCAGGGAGGAGCCTGCGGCGGGCGTTGATGAACCAGTTACAGACCTGAAATTATACAGGTATGCTTTAACACTCGGCATGCACACTCTGAGAACCATCCATAAATGCCTACTTGATCTCTCTTTGCATCTAAGAAGGCATGAAAAAACTTACTGGAACTTACAGTTATTCCAAAATATTTGAGCCCAGCCAAGGAAAAAAACTGCTTCCTGTCATTAAACCTGCTCGCCTTCTAATACAAATGCCTTTTTTTGTCTTATCATCCTTAAACCTTTTCAGGAGGAAGAAAAAAGTATAAATTCTTAATTGTCTAAAAATGATTTTAGGGCAGGAGGTTTACCTTTTAACTTTCCCCCTACATTAACCGATCACCTACTGCCCCAACATGTAAGTTAATCAACTACAGGAAAATCTTTCCTGTATGAAAAGGGCCACTCCCCCCAGTTACTGATTTTTCTCAGTTCAAATCACTGTGTCAACAGACAGACATGAATTACCTCACTAAAGTCTGTCCTCGTTTAAATATCAAAGCAGTTTCCTGGGTAATAGAGTAAGATTTAACCTCCTTTTTATGTTTGTTGCATAAAGCAAGGCTCTTTTAGGCATTAAGGAAAATGTTATTTGACAGATGACTGTCCAGTGTTTCTGTTTCTCTAAACAGCCAGTTATTAGCACTATCAGCACTAAAAAGTTTACAAGATACTCCTTTTTCTTTTTTTTGAGTTGGGAAGCACTTAATGACTTGACATACAGGAATGTTATAAAATGACTTTAGGGAAAAAAACCCCAAAACCTGTGTGCATATACCTCATGTTCTTTTTCCTCACCTGTAGTGTAGATAGGTGTGTTTGTTGCGATAGTAATGCTTTTTCTTGCTCTGAGGGATAGGCATTGTATCGGTGCTCATACAGCCAATCACGGAGAATCTGCACAGATTCCTTGGGCAGGTTGCCCCTTCGCCTTCTTTTGCCTGAGCCAGAAGAGGAAAGGTCCAGGGGGATATCCATGCTGTCATCATCCTCAGTCTCACTGCCGGAAGCTGCAACAACACCTAGAAAAGGACAAAGGCCAGCCATTAACCGCTTTCATCAGCAGAGCACCTACTGCAAAACATCTCTTTTGACCATTCAGTGTAAACATGATTTCTCAACTACTGGGAGCCCAAGGAGGGACCAGTTTCTGTTCTGAACTACCAAGAGCACATGTAAATTATTAGGAATAATTTGACTAAAACCACATTCTAGATTCTTCACCAGTTGTCAGATGGTTGAGAATCATATTCACTTTTCTATAGCACCTAACTTTTCACATTTCTTTGGAATGATACTCAGAAAAGTTTTTCATTTTGTCCAAGAGACAAAGCTCCACCCACAGTGAATAATAGGTTTGCCACCTGTGTATCAGCAAAGGTGCAACAGCAGATGGAATGTGTCTAACAATCTGCCAATCTGCTCTTTGAGGTCACTGCTGTCTAGGATAAATCTACTGAGTACCCTGTTGTACATTTTAAATGTTATTTTTCCTCTTTCTCTACTGAAGTTTTGAAATAAAAGGGAAGATTCATACTTTTTTTTTTTTTTTTTTGCTGATATTAGGAGGGAAAATTATACACTTATCCCAGTTAGTATTCTAAAGATAAAATATATGTCAAAATTTTCTGCTAACTGCATGGTCACTTTTTTTTCATGGATATTTACATTTGTTCAAAACTTGATACTTGCTTTTAATAACTAGTACTAGTCATTCTTTACTAAATACAATCACTGAAGTTTTCAGTGTTGTTACACAAAAGTATTTCCTATTAGTACTTTAGTAAGAGAATAAAGATGCCTAAACTGAATAAAAATTTTAATTTCCACAAACTTCAACTGCCATATTAATCTGAAGTGAGAATACTACATATCAATAAGCAGAGTTGTCTTGAATTATTACAAGACAAAGAAAACTGAATATGCAACCCCAGAGGAAACTCTCTTTTGTCTCTTAAGTACTTTAATCCTACCAGAAATTTTAAGAATTCACAAACCATAAAGGATATTCAAATCACACATACACTGGTTCAACAAAAATTCAGACCTGGCCCTTTTAGACATTTAAACATAATTTAGAACTTTAAAATATTTAAATAACTGCTTTTAACCCTCCCCCTCTGCAAAAGGACACAGGCAAGTCTTGGTGACTGAAGAAATACATTCTCTTTGTTTAACACAACTTAAAATCTTAAAAATATAAACAAATTATAAACTATCACATGCTTGAACATACCAGTATTTCTACATAAAGAAAATTAATTAAAATAACACAAAATTTAAAGGTATGCATTCTTTTTTTGAGCAATCAGAACACACATTTATTAAGTTTTCAGTCTCACACAGCATGGTTCATGATGCCCCCAAACAATTATAATAGTGGCATCAAAAATCACTGATCACATGTCACCATAACAATTATAATAATGAAAAAGCTTGAAATAGTGTGAGAATTCCCAAAATCTGACAGAGAAACACAAAGTGAATGAATGCTGTTGGAAAAATTGTGCTGATCTGCATACTGCAGGGTTGCCACAGAGGTTCAACTAGTAATAATCACACTATCCGTGAAGCACAATAAAGTGGAGCATAGTGAAATGAGGCATGCCTGCCCTGTGCCTGCCTGTTTTCTATATGAACGAAAAGATAAAGGTATGCATTCTTAACTTTGTTGACACAAACTTTGAGTGGTTTACCTGAACAGGAAATAAAAACAGAATATTTCTCAAGTGATAAACCATTCAATGGACTTCTGAGGGTTTTTTTTTTAAACCATCCTTTTAAAGGCTTTTAGCACAATGAAACTGAAAAAACTACACATTCAAAGATTTGTTGATGAGGTATCTTCCCAGTTAATTGAGTCTGACTTTACTTGGTGACACAGGGTTAGTTTTGGACTGCAGGGGGCAGAAGGTACTGGAGGGAGTGTCCACTGAAAAGACAGAAACTTCAGAAGACAAAGTGAATCAAGTTCTAACAAAAGAGCACGATGGTCTTGCAAATTCACTTTAGCTTCAGGCTTAGTAAATAGCCATCAATAAACCACACAGCAATTGTAAATGTTAACCCCTCTGTATTTAACGGTTCCCTTCACAGAAGCTTTTATTAAACTGCTTAAAAAAAAAAGGTACATTTTAAACCAAAACTCCTTTCACTGTCGAGAATATCAGAAAAATTCAAAACCCACATTGAAATTTGGGTGGAGAGCTATTTATAAAAAAACCTTAATAAATTATAAATGAGTTTGTTTTACATTTGCAAAGAAATCTAGCTTTTAAAATCAATCTTTTAATAATTGAATGACTAAAATAAATCTTGTTTAAACTCCTCAATGTCTGAAAAGCCAGACATTCTTCTCAAGGCTGTTACCCACTCTCCCTTTTAAAAATTTTTTTAAAGTGTGAAAATTTGCTCATTGAGTTCAACTGTAAGTTGATAATGACAAAGAGTTTAAAACAAACAAATAAACAAAACCCTGCAGCCTGCACTTTGATCTGCTTAAGTTTGACAAGAAGGCTGATCTTTCAGAATAGGTTAGTGACACACAAAAGCAGGTTTCAGTTAAACAACACCAAGTTGCGCTGTGACTTTACTCTGTTCTCAGTTCATTTAAATAAATGAATGCCAGGCCTCTGGACCTCTTTACAAATATTTCCAATATGTGCACAAAAGCTGAAGTAACAGGAAGTTAAGACTTCAGTTTCTTGGCTACAGCAGCTGATATTTCACTGCAACAAACCACGTTTGCTGCTGTCAGGACTATTTTCATTAAAACTCTCCCTCCGGATTGCGGCTCAACTTGGAAAAACAAAAAGACTTTTCCACGTTACTCATTTCCTATTGTAACAGAGCTTTTGAAAAGTTTCCCGGTTACGACTTGTTTCCAAAGTCCTGCTTTCTGCTTACACTTAAAAAAAAAAATGTGGTTGGGGGGAGGGGTGTAGGGAATCACAAGCCTCCTTTACTCCGTTCACATAGACAAGGAAATGTACAGAAAGCTAAAAGCCTATGGTCCCACAACTGTAAAAAGCAATCTTTTCTTTTCTGAATAGAAACTGGGAGTGCGAGAGCTAGAGAGATAGTGGTTGTAAATTTAGGTGAGTCTAAAAAAGAATCTAGAAATAAGAATAATCGAAGGAATCCCTGGCAAGGGAGCTCAGTTGGTCACAGCTCCTCTGGATAAGTCAATGTTGCAGGCTCCATCCCCGGTCAGGGCACATATAGGAATCAACAAATGGACGCATAAATAAGTGGAATAACAAATCCATGTTTCTCGCTCTAAAAAAAAAAAAGAGAGAGAGAAAGAGAAAGAGAAAAGTGGAAGGAAAAGTTTAAGTACACAATTAGGAAAAAGCAAACCTAACCTGACAAACATCCTTTCTGAGATGAGAGTATCTCAGAAGTGACAGGAATCACTAAATTCAAGGTGTGCTTGGTGGGTTGCTGCCACAGAACAATTGTAAAGTAAGAATTCCATACTGTCAGGAATGATGAACAAAAAGACTTCGGGGATTTTCCTGGACGACCCTTCTTTCTACTTGGCTTAAAGCCATTTGGGGAGATTTTTTTTGGCATCCTCAGCTTTCTAAGACGAGACACTTATCACAGGCCAGCCTTCCTAAATCCCGGGCTCTGCGATAGAGTTTAAGGTTCTTTTGTTTTCAAGAAAACTTGAAAAGATGTTCAGAGACTTCGATAAAATAGTCTAACCTCACAAGCCAGGCGGGACAGACTTCTTCCGGAGTCCTTAAGCGAGCACACGGAAAGCTGGCCCCACCAAGGTGGGGAGGTGAGGCGGTGGGGAGGGGGACCTAGGAGGCCTGGAGGGAGGAGTCCGAGAGGGAGGACGGCCAGCCAGCTTTTGTTCTGCTGGCGAGTTCCTCGGCCCCCACTGAACTCGGCCCCTCCAACAGTACGAGTTAGCACAACCAGGACCTCAAGAGTTTCAGATTACAAGAAACTAGACACGCTGCCGTGAATCTCTACATTCTGGAGGAGCCTGCCCACCCCCATAAGATTTACCAAGAAAACCTACAAAGGGAAAGAAACCGATCAAACCCGGCTGTCTGCTTCCCAGCACTGGCTCCACACCAGTTGTAAAGTTTCCCCTCTTGTTTCCTTGAGTCGGCGACCTGGCGCGCCCTGGGCTGCTGACCCCAAGTATTCCCATCCAGTGGCCAGCGGGGGCCCAGCCTGGTTCCTCTGAAGAGGGGAGAGGAAAAGGACATGACGGGGGGGGGGGGGGCGGGGGGGGCGCGGCGGGAACAAGCGGAAATAGTCCGGGGGTGGGGGGCTGGGAGAGGCAACAGAGAGAGGGGTTCCCGAGTGCCTGGGAGTGCCGTGGAAGGGACGAGGGACAATTGGGGTGTGAGGGAATACCCAAAATTGCTCGGGGAGGGGACGGATAGGTACCCTAGAGTGCCGAGGGATCGGCGAGGTACGCCAGGGGGGTGTACCTGAGAGTGCTGGGGGTACCTGGGAGGGCCCCATGGCAAGGTACCCAAAGGCCTGGTGGTGGTGGGGTAAGGACCCGGGAACGCTTTTATAGGTGGGGGTGGGGGACTGGGAATGCTAATCAACGCTTCTCACACCAGAGCCCGACAATGAGGGGGAGTCCATACCGGCGGAAGCCTAGCTTTGCACTGAACTCACAATCACCACTATTCAAAAACATCCTTCCCACAACTTATCCCAGGAAGAACGCCCTCCAGCCGAGATCTAGACCTGTCAATCTTCACGAGTAGACAGGGCCTTCCAGGGGCCATCCAGGGTGCTCCGGGAGCCCAGCTATACCCTCAAAACTCTAGGCCCCGTGTTCTCACTCTGCCCCTTGGAAGGGGGTCAGTAGGACGTCCTACTACTAACCACTACAAGAACCCCAGCTTTTGACATTTAATTTCACTCCCTCTGGGAAAGCATGAGATGAGGCGTGTTTCAAAGTCACCAGCCCATAATCAAAACATCGGCACCTCAGGGTGAAAACGGGCCTTAGTAATCGTCTAGTGTTTGAGGCTGCCCCACTCTAACTTTATTGTTTTAACTGTATCCGTGAGAGGAGTCTGAAAGAATGTGGAGTTACAAAAACTATGGGGCGCTCCTGCGCGTGCGCAGCAGCGCGCCCCCTCCCCCGCGCTGGCTTCCCAGAGTGATTAACTTCTGTTTTGAACCACTTAACATAAATCACAACAGAAAAGGCAACTGTGGCCCACGACGGAACATTCGAGGTACCTCCGCGTCAGGGACTCAAAAGTTCACTTCAAGCGGGAGCTAACTAACAGCACTCTTTGACCTTCCGTGGTGGCAGGGGTTTTTTCCCCCTGTGTATTTTGTTTTTAAACTAGGCTGACGGCAACGTTTCGTGGAAACAATGACAGACTCACTCTTTGCACTTACAACCAAGCCTGCTTGTCACACTTGGACTCATTCTGACTTGCATGCTGCTTTAAGCTGCCTGCCCTCAGTCCTAAACGCTGCATGTTGCCCTAGATTCTTCGTGGGAAAACTTTGGGAGGCCGTTAATTTTTCACTCTACCTTTCCAAAGTTTCCGATCCCCGAGGGCGATGTAGGGGCCTGAGCAGCATTCCTTCGATTGTGAAAACAACTCATCCCCCGAGAAAAGAATGCCCGGGCTCAGCTCGCAGGGAGCCGAGGCCCTAGAGTCCGAGCCCAACTTTCAGACAAAGGCGCTCCCGGCCGCCCCCCAGGTCGCTACGGGAAAAGCGGGGCGGGGGCACCCCTCGAACGGAGCCCACAACCCCAGCCTGCGAGAACCAGCGAGAAGCCACAAGGCGTCTCAGCGAAGCGTGGGGTGTCGGCTGAACAATGAAACTTGGGAGTCGCACAAACAAGGCGGTGAGCGTGTTTCTTGACACTGTGCCAGCAGCATGGAGAGGTACGTCTCTCCACAACAGCCCCTCATGTTGTGTCTAGAGGGAAAACAACTGCCATTTCAGACGCAGCCTCAACAAAGAGCGCGGCCGCGGTTGGAGGCGGAGAGCCCTGGGGCTGGGAAGTCCAACAAGTCGCTCTCGCCCGAAGCCCGGCGCGGCCCGGCGAGCACGTTTTCCCGGGACTCGCGCCCACGGGGCGACAGCCCGCGGAACTTACCTTTCTTGCTTTTCATTCTCGAGTTGTCCTTCCAGCGCAAGACACTACTGGGGTCTCGGAAGGCTCAGGAGCGGAGGGGTAGGGGGCAAGCGGCTGTCCTCCTTCCCAGCGGACTTTCCGGTAACTTGCAGAACTCGCTCCAGTAGTTATTGCTACACGAGGCGCTCGGATCCCAGGCGCCCGCTTCTTGGGTGGAATTCAAGTGACACTTGGGCTTCCTCCTGCCGGGATCTTCTGGCAGCCAGCCGGGGACTCTCCCTCGCCCAACTCACTCCCCTCCCCAGCCGCTCCTTTGTTCCCTGCTCCTGCTCCGCGCACCTCGGCGCTGTCAGATTAAGAGAGGCGAGGAGGGAAGGTACAGGAGGTCCTGCCTCCGCCCCCAACCGCCCGCCCCGTCCCCCGCCCGCCCCGCCGCTTCTCCGCCCCTCCCCCGCACCTTCCAGCCCCTGGGACGGCACTCGGGCCTCGCCGCGCCGCCTCACTCGGCGCCCCGAGCGCCGCCGTCACCCGTTCCTCGTGGGGGTGCCAGAGCCCAGAAACCGAGCCTCCGTCCCTGCTGCGTGCACACCTCCCGCATCCCTCGCTGGTCGCGGCCACACCAGCCGAGTATCCGGGTTTCTCCTTTGGGCCTTTCTTCCCGGGGCTAACGAGAATGTGTTTGGTTAGGAAATTGCAACAGATGGAAATCAGGCCACCCCCTTCTTCCCCTCCTCTACCCCAGGGAAGAAAAGGCCCCCCGCTTTCGTTTTTGACAGCTGCCCCGCACTCCACCGTCCCGACTGCAGCCGCGGGAGAAGACAGCCGCTTCTGATTCAAGGGGCGGGGCACCGTAGGAAAAGTATTCGGGACAAGAACCAACTTCTTCCAGAATGTGCGGCTGCCATTGACACGCGGGCGCGGCGCGTCGCACCCTTCTCCTCCCGGGGCTCTTCCTCCTACAGCCACAGTGTGAGGGGGGAGGGTAGGATGAGACACAGACACCCGAGACGGATGACTGTACCCCCGGGCTAAAGCTGCGAGTTCCGGACTGGGTCGCTAGGCAGTTTCGAAATCTAACACGTTGCGACGGACACTTGTCATGCTCACATGCTCTTTAAAAGTCTGTGCCTGGGGACGGGCGCGCGCCCGTCCCGCTGCCGCTCGGCCCGACACTCGCACCCTTGGACCTGGGCAGCTGCCGCCTTCATGGAAAGGAGGTGACCCACGCCTGGGCTGCTCGTCTGTTTCGATAAAAAGTCTACTTTTAAGACTTAAACCCTGCTAGGGGACCCCCTTTTACCATCGGGTATTTCAGACAAACTAGTCATTGAGTAAACACATGATCCGGTTTATTTTGGTTGAGAGGAAGACTCCAACACGAGTTCCTTGATGAAATTAACCTTTCAAAAGACCGAATGCTGCTTGGCTGATTTCAAGCAACGCATGCCCCCTCCCAGCCCTCTCCTCTGGGTCTAGTTTTCGCGTGTGTCCTGTGGCTTTTAAGTAAACGAACTGTCACTGTCACATGCCGCAGTGACTTTCCCCATCACTTAAAAGCGAAGGGCGGGGGCGGGGGTGGGGGCCCACAACGTAAATAACCCTGGTAGAGACGTCAGTGCCTGAGTCGGCCTCCAGTTTCAGCTCTGTGCTGTTTTTGTTTTGTAACCTCAATGGAGAACCCGGCAGGAGTAGGTTCGGTGGGAATAAGGTTAAACCTGAGGGCTACAGCAGTCTAACGATGACTAATTAAGCTCTGGAGCCTCCGTTTTAGGATTACACTGAAAATTAAAGCCAGTCTCCCACCCACTCACCCTTCCAAAAAAGACTCCCGCGCCGGGAGAGTGAATTAAGGCCAGAGTTTACAAAGCTTGGGTGGTTTTTCCAATTACAGGACTTAAAATGAATAAACAAGGAAAAAAAGCGTCACTCTAAGAAGGCAGGAACCTTACGATTTTTTTTCTTCTGTGGTTTGCCGGCTGCTCGGCACCTAAGAGAACACACATCTGAAACGACAAAGCAGGGAAACTTGGTCCTAGAGTAGACCCACAGCCTGGAAGCTCCCCTGCAACTTGCTGTTCCTCCCCAGGACCTGGCTGGAGATGAATCGTCTGCGGAGCCCGAGTGCGGGACAGATGTGGGGCGGGGCGGGGGTGGGGGCCGCCGGTTAGAGGGCAGCTGGCTTCTAGCATTTGAAGGCTTGTTTGTTGCTGGGATTGGTGGCTCCTAAAGGTTGGGGAAAGGGAGGGGAGGAAGGAGAGACGCAGGGAGGAGGAGTCCCAGGCCGACGGCGCGACTCCGCGGTTTGATTGGCAGGAGCCTCATCTGGAACCAGGCGGTTACTGGGGAGACGCTTTGTTTGCTAACTTCGAAAGTGGCTTCGGCTGCCTCGGCCGCTTTCGAAGCCACTCAACAAAACACGCCTCCAGGTCGCCTTAACCCTCCCCCTGGCCGCTTTCAGCAGCTCGCGACAAAAAATGTTTCCTTCTTCCGCGTGGTTATCCTTGGCCACGCGGTGGCTCTCATTCTGTACACAAAGGTGTCTTTTTCTACGTCTAGGTGAACTTGCCCAATTACTGGGATTCTCAGGCAACCGAAATGGAAACCGAGAGTTGAAACGAGTTTATAGCTAGAAAACAAACTTTCGGGGGGGGGGGGCGGGGGGACGCACAGAATTAAAAGCCTCTTTTAAATTGCGAAGAGAAAAAAATTGAACTTTAAACTCTCTTGCTGGACGTACGGCTTGATCAGGCCACTGCTCACCATATCGAAGCCGTTATTAAAAGTTGAGAGATGTTCCAAAGAGGCGGGCGAGCACGTTTCTGTGTGATGACTCCCCAGGCAGAGGCCCCCCCGCCCTCAAGGCTATTTCCCAAGTTTGGAGCTTTGAATTGGTGGGTTCTGAGAAGTGCCCGGAGTCTGCATAACACTGGCAAGAAAAACAACCCAAGGAGTGGGCTCGAAAAACCAGCAAATGCTTAGAATATTTTTTGTTTATTTGCCTTTTCCAAGGTGGAAAAGCAAGTTTTAGTTACGGCTGTGTCAATTCCTTAGTGTCACAGGTAGGGCCTCTCCTTAAAACTGGAAAACTGATCCAATTACTTAAGATTCTTTCTCGTGCTAAAAAATTTTAGTTAATAAAAAATTATATGGATTCATATTGGGTGAAAGAAGTGAAATGATGCTTGGTGCTCAAGAAAGCTGCTGATAATCGTTTTCGCCATTGTTTTTTTCCCTCTAAGCACGCGTAGTTCCATTAGGTGTCTTATCTTCTAAAGTTGCCTCAAGGCCAAGAAACAGTTGTTGAAGTTACTTTTCACAGCCTGCAAACGTTTCAGAGGCACATAAACCAGAGAAATGTATCAGTATATCCAGTTAGTTTTAGGCCAGGTCCATGGTGGGATTGGAGAATGTATTTCATTTATCTACTCAACCACCATTGATTACACATGCATTCCATTTGGCTTTGTCCTAGGTGAAGGAATGATGACTCACTCAGTGGCTGGATCCCTTTTGCTTCTAGTCTCTGGGGGACAGATACTTACTTCTTTTTCTTTTTTTCTTTAAATTATTTTTTTAAAATTAATCTTTATTGTATTTTTTTCTATTACCATTTAGTCACCTTATAACCTTCTCCTCCAGGGACAGATATTTAGAAAAAAAAAATATGCAGACTGTTAGGCACCAAACACTGTGGCAAGGATTCTATAATCATCTCTTCACATCTCAGGTCAGGGGAATAGGGTTGCTTTAAAAGATAACCATTGTCTTTTCAAGGGCCTGGAGCTAAGCTACAACCATCATGTGATTTTTTCCGACCCCATCAAGATTATCTCCAATTCTAAGTTACATGAATGATGTAAATCGTGCACGACTTTAGGTTGTAATCACTTTTCTTCTAACCTGCACGTTCCCTCCCATCCTCGTCCCTCTGTAGCCCAGTCCTCATTTTCCTTTGCCTATAGATTTGGAATCATGGGCACAGAGTGAAAAAATAATGCGTTGAGCACAGCCTTTACCCTCTTTTGGACTCTTCATGTATCTGTAGTGTGCTTTACAGTTTATGAACCACTTAAGTGATCTTATTTAATAGCACAGTAAAGTAGGTTATTATTTTTTCCTTAAGTCAACATACCATGAATACATCCAAATATAACAAAGCAAAAGGGTATAAAACCAAGTGCTGGGCATAAATTATCTGGCTTTAAATCAAGTTTCCTCTGTCATCCTTTGGTTGAAGAGCTCACGGATGTGGAAGGCAGTGAATAAGGCAGATACTAAGTGCAGGTGATGGCACCAGGGCCTCCTGAACTTGTGAGGGTTGCTTGAATATCTCTTCTCTGGATTCTACCAGTAGTTTTATGAAAGGCTCTCTTCCAACTTGCCAGATTTTTGTGCTTTTTTTTCTTTTCTCATTTTCCAATTACAAAAAAAAAAAAAGAAGAAGAAGTCTGTGCTCAAAAATTCAAGAAAGTATACAAATTGAGATATAAAAGACCTCTTTAAAAAAAATAAATAAAAGACCTCTTAGTTTCTCTCTTCACTCTCCAAATGCGCATGCGTACACTACATACAAATGTAAGGGGTCTTTTTTATTATTTGTTGTTTTCATGTGCCCTCTGCCTGGAGTCTGAGGAGTCTCTGATATCCTGACCTAAATTTAAGTTATCTGTACTGCTACCATCTACCTCAGGGTTTCTTAACTACAGCCCCATTAATATTTGGGACCAAATAATTCTTTGTTGTGTATTTTAGGATGTTTAGTGGCATCCCTGGCCACTTACCAATACTTGTAAGTAACACCCATCCCCCAAGCTGTGACAAAAAACATCTCAAGATTTTGCCAGAAGTCCTCCAGAGGAGATGGAAATGACCGGGAGTGGGGGTTGGAATGGATGTGGGGAGGATCACCTCCGGTTGAGAACCACAGATCTAGCTCGACCCTTCCTGTATTTTTTCCATAACACCACAGTTTAAATTATTTTGATTATTAATTTGTTTATTTTCCTTTGACTCCCACTAAAATAAGACTTTCAGAATATGATGCCAGATTTTACCTTATTCCCTTTCTTTACTTCCATGAAAATAGCTAATCCATTCACATGTTTCCATTTATCTTCCCAAACTGTAGAGGACCCATTTATAATAGCAAAAAACACAAACAAAAAACAAACAAACAAAAAACAATGAAACATCTAAGAAGAAATTAACAAGAAATACGTGCAAGTTTTATGAAGAAAATTGTTAAAGTTCTACTGAGGGACAAAAAGGAAGATGTAAGTAAAATAAAAAAATGTAACATTGTTTTCTAGCAAGATTCAATAATGAAAGCAGAAAACTGGCTATTTTCCCCAAATCACTATTTATTTTTAATTGATTTTAGACAAGATGGAAAAGAGAAAGAGAAAAAAAAATGAATTTGTTGTTCCACTTATTTATGCATTCATTGGTTGATTGTTGTATGTGCCCTGCCTGGGATGAAACCCACAACCTTTGAGTCCTGGAGATTACTACAACACTCTAACTAACTGAATTATTTGGCCAGGGCCCATATCAATCTTTAAATTCAAAGCAATTTCCATTAAAATACCAACAGGATTTTTTTTAATTGCCACAGTTCATAAAAAATAAAGATCTCACAAAAACCAGGGAAATTCTAAAAGAGAAAGTTGGGGTGAGGGAAAACAGGGGAATCCCCACTAAATATTGAAGTGTTTCGAAGTTGATAATAATTAAGACATAAAAGTTTTGTACTGAAAATAAATAAAGAGGAAACAAAGAACAATGAGACACTAGAAGATATAGAGAGATTTAGATTTTGGCAAAGGTGGCTTTTTCAGATTAAATTGAATTGGGACAATTATCTATTTTTAGTTGAAAATAAAGCTGAATCTCTGTCTCATTCCTTTAACAAAAATAAAATTCATTTAGTCAAAGATTGAAATATTAAAGTAATTTAAAATGCACCAAATATGGTCTAAAAC